ATTTGGAGAACAGTGTGGAGATTCCTCAAGAAATTAAATATAGAGCTTCCCCATGACCCTGTAATTACACTACGGGTATTTACTCCAAAGATACAAATTTAGTGAAAAGAAGGGCCATCTGTACCCCAATGTTCATAGCAGCAATGGCCACGGTCACCAAACTGTGGAAAGAACCAAGATGCCCTTCAACGGACGAATGGATAAGGAAGATGTGGTCCATATACATTATGGAGTATTATATCTCCATCAGAAAGGATGAATACCCAACTTTTGTAGCAACATGGACGGGACTGGAAGAGATTATACTGAGTGAAAGAAGTCAAGCAGAGAGAGTCAATTATCATAGGATTTCACTTATTTGTGGAGCAAAGGAAATAACATGGAGGACATGGGGAGATGGAGAGGAGAAGGGTGTTGAGGGAAATTGGAAGGGGAAATGAACCATGAGAGACTATGGACTCTGAAAAACAATCTGAGGGTTTTGAAGGGGCCGGGGGTGGGAGGCTGGGGGAGCCAGGTGGTGGGTATTAAGGAGGGCATGTATTGTATGGAGCACTGGGTGTGGTGCATAAACAATGAATTCTGTTACACTGAAAAGAAATTAAATTAAAAAAAAATGAAAAAAAAAAAGTTAAACACAGGGGCGCCTGGGTGGCTCAGTCAATTAAGTGTCTGCCTTCTGCTCAGGTCATGGCCCTAGGATCCTGGGTTCCCGGCTCAGCAGGGAGTCTGCTACTCCCTCTCCCTCTGCCCCTCCTCTTCCCTAAAGCTCTCCCTCACTGTCTCACTCTCTCTCACAAATAAATAAATAAAATCTTTAAAAAAGTTAAACATATACATAGTATACAATCCAGCTTATATCCATATATTCATAGCAATACTGTTCATAAGAGCCAAAAACTAGAAATAATCCAATGTTCATCCAAATGTCCATAAAATAGAAATAATGTTAAATGTAGAAAAAAATTTTAGGAGAACTGCCTTCATGAACTCTGATCTATAAACATGCTGTGTCATTTCATTTGCTTTTTTTAGCTGATCTTTAATCACTCCAATGTTTTGGAGTTTTGGAAAGGGAAATATATTTCATACAATAGAATACTAACTTGTCAATAAAGAGGAATGAAGTACTAATACATAAAACAACATGGATAGATCTCAAAAATATTATTTTAAGTGAAAGAAGCCAGACACAAAAGACTATATATTATATGAATCTATTCACATGAAATTTCTAGAAAAGGCAAAGAGAGAAAATAGATCTGTGGTTGTTGGGGATGGGAAGTGGGCATAAGGAATGCTGGTAGATGACCATTAAGGAAATTTTCAGGTCATGGCAGTATCACAAATTGAATTGTGAGGATGGTTCACAACTGCATAAATTTTCTAGAAATCATTTAACTACAATTACAATGGTGAATTTTGTGAAATGCAAATTATGCCTCACTGAAGCTATTACTGTAAGGGAAGAAGAGAAGAATGACTCTGGCTTTCTTACAAGAACTATGTTTCAGAGTAAAGAAATTGCTAATAAAGATTTCTTTTATAGAGGAATTCCAGCTAATAAATCCAGAAAGTGACAATATTAGGAAAATCACACTTTGTAATCCCTACTTAAAAGATGGATCTCAAAGTTACTTGAGGAAAGACTGATGAGGAACTTTGCAATGGAAGAATCAGGCTGGTGCTGCCTGGAGCTAAATCATCAATTTTAACATCACTAAACTTAAGACCATCAGACTCATATACGACTTGATATTTTATAAGTACACTGCATCAACTCTGAAGGATTCTTGCCGAAAAAATAAAATAAGCCTGAATCTAATCAAACCTCTAGATCTAATTATCAGTTTACATAATACAGTAATAAACAACTCAACAGCCCTTTAAGGAAGCAATCAGTCAAATCCAAGTTAAAGGATATTCTAAAGGACTTGGTTTTTCTAGTAAATTCACAGTGGTAAAGGGGTGCCTGGCTGACTCAGCCGGTAGAGCGTGTGACTCTTGACGTTGGGGTTGTAGGTTTGAGCCCCACAATGGCTGTGCAGATTACTTAAAAATAAAATCTTAAAAAAAAAAAAAGTGAGGGGCACAAATACAGAGAAAAAGATTCAAGAGGTAAATGCTGATACATAGAGTATGAACTATACCTTGATTGGATTCTGATTTTAGCAAACCAACTGTAAAAAGATGTTTTGGTGACAAGTGGGGAAATCTTCATAATGACTACATATTTGATATTATTAAGAAATTATTAATTTTCTTGCATGATACCAGCATAGTGGTATGCGTGTATGTGTATCTTGAATACTTGTGGTAAAATGATGTAAAGATTTGCTTTTAAAGATACCCACAATTACTTTAAGTGGCAAAGTGCACATGTAATAAGACTGATAATATGTTGAAAATTGTTGAAGCTGGACAATAGGTATATTGGACTTCATTGTCCCATTCTCACCACTCTTAGTATGTTTTTAATTTTTCATATTAATACGGTTAGTGGACAATGAAAGACTGTAAACCTAAGAGAAAAAAAGTAAAAGAAAAAGGGGAGCCACAGCTCACAAGAGAGATTAAAGATAAGGACTGACATGTAAGTCTTCAGAAGATAGAGAATACATGAAGCCTAGTCTTTGGAGAGCAGAATATAAGGAGAAAAATAGAAAATAAATACATAAAAAGAGACCAGAGAAGTAAAGCCAGTGGAATAGTAATATTTAAAGACAGAGCAGAGAAAGAGGAGTTTGAGAAAGATACCAAAAAGTAGAATCAGTAAGATGGGAAAAGACCTAAGAGAAAAACTAAATCAGGAAAAGCAAGGCAAGAAAGTTTCCAAATAATAATAACCACAATAATAACCACTAAGTACTCTTCTTATAGTCCCCAAATTTCAAATCAAATAGAAAAAAAGGGGTACCTGTGTAGTTCAGTCAGTTAAGCATTCAACTCTTGGTTTTGGTCCAGGTCCTCCTGATCTCACGGTCTGTGAGACTGGGCCCTGTATGGGGGCCTGAGCTCAGCAAGAGTCTACTTGAATATTCCCTCCTTCTGTCCCTTCCCCCGCTCCCACTCTCCCACTCTCCTTCTCTTTCTCTCTCTCAAATAAATAAATCAATCTTTAAAAAACCCACAAATATTAAAAAAAGAATTATGTTTTGAACAAAAGAATTTCAGAATGAAATATTATCTCATATTTAGATGAGATAATACAAGATATTAGATAAAATTTAGATATTTAGATATCAGAATTCATATTTTCTAAGATACACAATACAATTTCCCAGTTACTGAAGATGTACAAGAAATATTAACATTTATTTAATGTTAGTTTTAAAAAAGGCATTTACCTACTAATACCAAACTGCCACCTACCTAATCCACCACAGTGAAAGATACAATATCAAGCAGTAGAACAACTACAAAAAAATAAATAAGGTATTGACACTGGCCATAAAGAGTTCTCTGGAGAAGAATCATTAAACTGTATAATTCACAAAGATAAGGCAGTAAGCTGGCCCTATTTCTCCCCATATGCCCAGATTCCAGCATGGTGCTGGGTTCCATGTTTCTACAAGGCTGGAATCCCAGTGGGGTGCAGGGGGGAAGAACAGGTGACATTGATGATGCCCATTATTGTTGATGTTTTGAACCACAGATATTTACTAGACCAAACTGGTGATCTCAGATCCCTCTCTAATCACAAGAATAAATAACAGAGCTTTTCATTTCATACCCAGAGCTTGAGTAACTTATTCCCAAGTATATATACAGCTTTGCATTGCTGCTCTCAAAAATAGTTGTATCTTTTTATAGTTGATTCCTGGTACTTTGAGGAATTTACTATTACTCACAGTCTTGAAAATGTCACTTCAAATAATTTACCAACATATTAGATGCAATACAAAATGCAAATCATATATAATTTTAAGCTGCCATGACTTCAATCTTCTATTATTTACTCTATTAATTTGTAATACACTGGGGTTAAAGACATATGCTTGTTTGCAGGGCAAAGCCCCACCCAACGTGGATCTCTATTTTTACATCAAAAACACTTCATATCATCTAAATCAATATAAGGTTCAAGTAAGTCTTTTTGATACCCACAGACCTAACACAGAAAAAGCAAAAACTCTCAGCCTCTGTATAGCATATGTATATTTTATTATTTCCAGGTATATTCTGAAAAATGTTTTTCAAAATTGTTTTAAAATTATCAACTCAAGATTTTTTAAAATTCTTAGTAGACTCTTTTTAACTTTTACCTAACCCAAGATTAAGAAGCATAATTCTAAAATGTCCTAGGATCAGGAATTAAAAGTTAAAGACTTACATTCAAGCTGTGCAACCACATCTCCAGGGTCAACTGCTTCAGGGAACACCTACAGAGGGAGAGCAGGGAGGGAGGCAAGGTGGAGAGGAGGAAATGAGAGGAATATACACATAAAACAACACTCTCTGTGTTTTCCCTCTCATTCCCCAAATACTCCTTTCCCAACCAAAGAAACTTTTGACATTATTGAAGACTGTCACTTCGTCTCTGCTTCCCATGATCACTATGGAGGATTTGACAATTACATATTACGGCTGGCCGACGCTCCCTCTCCCACTTCACCCGTGCTTATCTTGACCTCCAGTTCCTCCCCTGCTTGTTTCCATGGTCATACTGGCCTTCTTCATGCTCCTGCAACTCATCAAACTTATTCCCAACAAGATGCCTCTCTATTTGCTATTCCTCTGCTTTGAATACTTTTCCCCTAGACCTTTGAATAACTGCTAACCGTCTCAGAATTCAGGTTCAGCTTAAATGTTACTGCCTTCTCTATCCTTTAAATTAGATAATCCCCCTAATCACCCAGCCCCTCCCTGTCCCCCTGCCTTCCCTTTACTTCTTTCATGACACTTACCACTATCTAAAATTGCATTATTCCTGTGTTTACTTGATTATTTTCTGTTTCTCATATTACAATGAAAGCTCTGAGAGAGGAGGCTGTTTGTCATGGTTACCCAGTGCCTATAGAACAGTGCATGGAACAGAGCTAGACATGGGTAATTCCTTGCAGAAGAAAAGGAAAAGGAAGGAAGGAAGGAAAGAAGGAAATAAAAAAGTGAGGAATATGATTAGTAATAACCAGAAGCAGCAGTTTCAGGGAAAAATTGAAAAGAAACTCATAGAATGAAGTACCATAAGATAGCCATTGTAAATTTTTACCTATTAATGTCTCCTCTCTCTTTTTTATAAAAATTATTTAATACTCAGATGCTCTATTTTAAATAAAGCCCACTAACACAATTTTAGAAATAAACTGATTCATCCTGAAAAAGAGGCAACTGATTCAATGCATAAATAATGAATATTTATTTTCAGATTTAAATTACAAATCTCCTCTTGAATAAACCAAAGTATATAGTCAGCAACAATAATTTGTGTTCTGGGTTTTTATTAAAAATTCAGAAGTACTCTGATTATTTGTAAATATTTGATCTGATATTTGAACTCACCTTTTCAAACACCATTCTGGCATTGAAGACCAGTGGAAAATTGGCTGGGACACATTGTGTCTTTTTGTATTGGCCAAACACACAGATGCTAAGATAGATGTCCTCCTTGTCTTTCAGCACCACTCCTGGACAAGTTACCTGAATGAAATTAGATAGAGAGATGTAACTGCTTTATGAATCCCCTGAACTATCCTACTAAATTAATTTACAAGGCATTACATAAAACCACTAGTCTGCTAAGGTAATAAAATTACGCTCAAATAAAAAAAGGAGAGAGAGATTCCCATGTTTGCAGAGTTAAATGAAATGCCTTTATAACTTCCATCCCTCTGAGAAATCTATGATTTTCCATTTGGTTCTTTGTGCCACATTTGAAGCTCTGTGTACTGGCTCTTGGGACAGACACGAACAGTTTTAAACAATAAGCCTTAGGCACCCACTTTATGCTGAATGCTGACATAAACTTACTCAGCATCATTGAATCACAGAGGATTTAGACTCAGCAGAAACACAGCACTATCCTAGAGGACACACACAAAAACTAGCGATAAAAAGCACAAATCTGACCTGTACCATCCTAAATAGCAGCCCATACACACCCTCATCAAAAGCAATATGACAAAGTTTCAAAGCCAGTGAATTTTAAGTTTCTAGCCAAATGAAATTTTCTAAATATGAAATTGCATGTAATTAGCCTCATCATTGACAGAAAGTATAGGCACAAAATATAGGGTTTCTAAAAACTACATGGCACAGTCTCCCCAGTCCCTGCCATATTTCACTGGCAGTGATCAACCATACACTTAGTAGGATATTAAAGGCTCTCTAAGATTTGAATCCAACTTACCCACATAGTAATATTTCTCAATGGCTCCCCAATAATACAAAGTATTTTTTATTATCCTCTGAACACACACATTACATTCTCCCATTATCTGGATGATTATTCAACACTCCATTCCATCTCCTCTCCTCATTTATACTCACCAATTCCCAAGGCTTACATCAATCAACTGCATCTCCTACACAAAACTTCTCTTGACTCACCAGCTATCATTATTCAATTCAATCTAATCCAAACATTTACCACGAATTTACTATATTCAAGTAAATACATTTTAGATTCTCATAACATTTTGTAGTTCTCTTAAGGCCCAATTATTGTCTCCACACATTTTAATTAAGTGGATACATCTCACCTTTTAAAATTATAATTGCCGAGGACAGAAACTTTATTTTCCTCATTAATATATCCAAAACCACAGACTTTGGTATTTAGGAGAAGCTTAGAGATTATCACGTACAGCTTCATATTTTTCATATATGATAACAATAGAGCCCCAAGAAAGTATAGGTGATACACTTATTTAAAATGACACAGTAAATGAATGAATACAAAACATTCAAAAGTGCTTAGAAAAGTGCCTAATAGAGCATTCAACCAATACCAGCTATAGCTATTGCTAGACTGAAAATCATTATCATTTGTCATCTCAACACATTCCTGCACTGAATAAATGACTAAGGCTTCATGTCTCTTTGTACATAGCAGCTAAGATTATTTTCTGTGCCAGATATTTTGATTCCATCTCCCTCTTATTGTTTTCCACTTCTGTCCTAATATATTCCCCCAATGATCATTAAAATCTATTAAAATCCATGTCCTCAGCAAATTTCATGTTGCCCATCACCTTCAATTCTTACTGTGCCTCATTAAAATAAAATCTGTTAGAATCCAATTCCACAGTACCCAATGTGGTATCTGAAAGCCACTTATGCCTATAGTTGTGACTAGTCCAAAATTTAGATAGATACTGAGTGTAAAATAAAAGATTTTGAAGATTTTGAAGACTTATTCAAAAAGATTTTGAAGACTCATTACAAAATCAGCATAAAATATCTCATTAATAACTAATGCCTTGAATATATTGATCTAAATAAAAGTATTATTAAAATTAATTTATCTACTTCTTTTAACTTTTTAAAATGTAGCTGGTAAAAAATTTAAACTTACATCCTTGGTTCAAATTTGTCACTTATATTCTATTTCTATTGAGTAGCACAGCTGCTCTAATTGTCCTACTAGAAACTACTAACTCTCTTTCCAATGTGTAATATATGCGAGAAAGCATGAGTTTTTCTCATCCACAATTCTACAAATTCTGCCATGCTTTAATACAACACTGAGCAGCTTTCCAAAAAGAAATCAGGAAAGGAGGATGGGTAAAGAAAATTACATGGGACAAATAGAAAATAAAACAACCATATGGATAATTACATGAATGCAAATATTCTAAACATTCTAATTAAATAGCAGAAATTGTTCAGATTGGATAAAAAGGCAAGACATAATATATGGTCTTCAAAGAAAATTCCTTTAAAGATAAAGACAGACATAGCAAAGGTACTTTCACTCTGGAAAACAGCACGGAGGTTCCTCAAAAAGTTGAAAATAGAGCTACCCTATGACCCAGCAATTGCAATACTGGGTATTTACCCTAAAGATACAAACGTAGTGATCCGAAGGGGCACGTGCACCCAATGTTTATAGCAGCAATGTCCACAATTGCCAAACTATGGAAAGAACCTAGATGTCCATCAACAGATGAATGGATAAAGAAGATGTGGTATATATACACAATGGAATACTATGCAGCCATCAAAAGAAATGAAATCTTGCCATTTGCAACAACGTGGATGGAACTAGAGGGTATTATGCTTAGCAAAATAAGTCCATCAAAGAAAGACAACTATCATATGATCTCCCTGATATGAGGAGGTGAAGATGCAACGTGGGGGGTTTGGGGGATAGGAAAAGAATAAATGAAACAAGATGGGATTGGGAGGGAGACAAACCATATGAGACTCTTAATCTCACAAAACAAGCTGAGGGCTGCCGGGAGGAGGGGGGTCGGGAGAGGGTGGTGGGGTTATAGACATTGCGGGGGGGTGTGCTGTGGTGAGTGCTGTGAAGTGTGTAAACCTGGAGATTCACAGACCTGTACCCCTGGGGCTAAAACTACATTGTATGTTTATAAAAAAATTTTAAAAGTATATAAAAAAAAAAGAAAAGGTACTTTCAGAATGGTAGATCAAGTACCTCCAAAAATCAGCCCCTCTATAAAAGCAAAAGGGAATACTTATAAAAGCAAAAGGGAATACCAACAACTGTCAAAATGAACTTTTTACAGCTCTAAAAACTAACCAGAGATGTGCAACAATCTGAAGAGCATTTATTGGAGAAAAACAGCTGAACTTTGGTTAAAACAGTGATATTGTGGTATGTTAATGTATTCTATTCCCAATCCCCTCTACTCAGGTCTTCTGAAGCCTTGAAAACCAAAATCCTTAGAATTATAGTAGCCATGAAAACCAGCAGTCCCACAGACACTGGAGGAGAACAGGTTTAGTGCTACCCAAAAGCCCCATCCCTAGGAAATTGTCATTATTTGATCTGACAGTACCCAGAAGCCCTCATTCACAGGGATTCTATTTGACTTGAACTGGAGTTCACTCATATAAAGAGCCTTTCTCCTCAAGGCAATTGTCAAAAACAATCAGTAGCAATTGTTTAACACCACAGATGCCTGAGGCAGTGATCACAAGTGAGGCAAAACATAACCTGATCAAAATGCTTAAAAGGTAAAGCTGGAAAATCATGTATATGGGTGTGTGAGGGCTGGGGAGGGTGCTTTCTTTGAGAAGTACAATATATTCTTGGCAATTTAGAAGATCATGCACATGTTCAGGGCTGTGCATGTGCCCAGAAATGACCTGATGAAACCCTAATCTCTCACCTCTAGCTGACCTTGAGGCTTTGGGAGAGTTGGAAATGAAAGCTAAGCCAGAGTTGTAAACTCCCTGTAGGGCTTAGAAAACATGCCCCAACAAGCACACAGAAATCCTTAGCAAAGACTGGGAGACTTACTGGCTGAAGACATTTAAAGGATATAGAAATCCAGTCATTAGCAAGTCATTAAGTTAACCAAGAAGAGACTCTGGTGGCCACACATGACAAAGAATACAGACTTTAACTCAGGAGAGTAACTAAACAAACAAAAAGCAATAGCAAACAATGAACCCTGAGAAATAGGGGGAAGTTTGATTTACAGAGTTCCATATTATATTATTTAAATGTTCAATTTTCAACAAAAAATATAATATACAAAGAAACAAGAGTATGACCCATACACAGGGGAAAAAGCAGTCAATAAAAACTATCTAGGAGGAAGCCCAGAAGTTGGCTTTACTAAACAGAGACCTTAAATCACCTATTATAAATATGTACAAAGAACTAAAGGAAACCTTGCCTAAATATCTAAAATAAAGTATGGCAACATGGCAATAATGTCTCATCAAAGAAGGAATATCAGTAAGCAGAAATCATTTTTTTAAAGAACCAAATAGAAATTCCAGAGTTGAAAAGTACATGACAGATATGAAAAAAAATTCACTAGAGAAGCTAGCGGAAGAAAGAATAAGTGAACCTGAAAATATATCAACTGAGATTATCATCCTAAAGAACAGAAAGAAAAAATAAAGAAAAATGAATAGACTCTCAGAGATCTGTGGGATACCATTAAGCACAACAACATAGATATAATAGGAGCCCCAGAATAAGAGGAGAAATGGCCAGAAAGAATATTCAAAGAAATAATGGACAAAAGCTTCCCTAATTTAAAGAATTGCAATCTACACACCCAACAAGCTTAAAGAATTCCAAACCGCATCCAACATAATCAAACTTTCAAAAGACAAAGATGAAGACAGAATCTTTAATGCAATATAAGAGAAGTGATTCAGCAAGTACCAAAAAATCCTCCGTAGGTTTAACAGCTGATTTTGCTTCAGAAACATGAAGCTAGAAGGAAGTGGGATGACTTATTCAAAGTGCTAAAGGAATTTCATAACATTTGCATATTGTACTTCAATTTTTTCAAATAAGAATTCAATTTCAACCAAAAATCCTCTTCAAAAAGGAAGGAAAATTAAGATATTCTTGGATGAACAGAACAGATCATTAGCACAACTTCCCTACAAGATATATTAAAGAGAATCCCTCAGTTGAAATGTAAGGACACTAGACAACAACTCCCAATCACATGAAAAAAAGAAAAAAAAAAAGCACCAGGAAGGAA